TAACTCACACACTGCAAAATTAAGTCGTTTATGCTACAGAAATGTAATATTACCTTCCTTCACTCGAAAAAACCACGAAAAAGGCGAAATTCAAAGGTATTCGTAACATCTCCTCCCACATTTTAATAGCAGAAGTACATAGTTAAGAAAATAGTAAATATCTTCCAGTCTTCCCACAGAAGAACCATTCACCCTGATAGGTTAAAGTACCTTGTGCTCGACGCTCTCCACCATACGTCCAATCTTGTCCTTCATCTGCCTTGTGATGGCGGTCAGCTGCTCTTCCACAGCAGACAGCTGCTTGTGCAGCACGCGCTGCTTCTCCACCTTCGTTGATTTCTGCTCCGTCGCTTTGTTGTACACCTGCAACATTTGTACAATATCGTCAAGTATTTCGAATATTTTTTCCATATCAATCAGGCGAAGCGACCTTTGACCAATTACCCTTAATCGACAGAGTTGGAGATACACAGAAAATAAATATTTACTCTTCCTGTGGGGTTCCCTCCTCCATCAAATCCCCTCCCCCTCTCCATCCTTTCTTGACGAGAAAAAGGTGAGACTTATCAGACTGTATCCGGAATTACTTCCTTTTGACACGTATCCTCTGTGTAGTCTAGCATTGGAAAATGTGTACCTGTTCGAGCGCGGCCATCACCTCTGCGGCGATGTTCTTTCCGCGGCGCGAGTGCTGCGCGAACTTGGTGCGCACTGCAGACTGGCTGATGCACTCCTCGAACTTGCGCTCGAAGTCCACGAACTCGAAGTACCGCACTTGATGACCCTCCGCTAATATCGGCGCTAACACACAAATTATTACATTATAACATATCCAGGTAAATCAAAATAAAAGATAAAATACGAGATTAATTTATTTTCAATAGTGAGCTGTATGTAGATTTATATTTATCTCGCGAGTATCATAGCATATGTTCACCTATTTGCCACGAGATGGCGCCTTTTTATAACTTCTTGTCGCCAACCTACGGAGCGGCCGCGGCCGCTTAAATGTCTGACATGGAGTCGAACTAACGTCGTGCTGCGTGTTTTCAATTTTTACTAACATTTTCACAAATTTACATACAGCATAGGTAATTCGAGATTTTTTTATTTATTAATTATCCAAAGATAAACTCACAGGAGACTGGTTTCTCTCTCTCCCGCATACGCGTTAGAAGGGCTTCCTTCGCCGAGATGAAGAATATCCTCTCCTCGGCCTCCTTGGGTGTACAGACTCGCAGCTCGCGAGACAGGAAGTCCACGCATCTGTTGGCGTGCTGCGTACGCACCTGCCAACATGTTACAACAAAACAAATATATTACATGTGTCATCATAACGACAAAAGGGCGGGATAAAGCAAGACTGTCGTAATATCTGTTTATTTTTTTACAATCGTTAACCACAAGACTTTCTTTTCAGTGAATTATTGAATTCAGTTTTGGTGTATGTACCATTTAAAATATAAAAACGCTTACCTGATCCAAGTACTCTGGTTCCGAGGCAGAAGCATCCCATCTGTTGTTCAAAATAAATATATTCGGTTGTGATATCTTCGTTGATACTTTGTGGAAAAAGTTTTTCTCCTGCAAATAACAACATAGTATGTATATATCTACATTTTTCACCTTATATTTCTTATATATTCGACCATATATGTCCTATAAGATAATAAAGCCTAATGGCCTAATAATGGATTGGATGGATGGACTGGATAATAAAAAAAAATTACAATAGCCTAATGGTTAAGGGTACGGATTTCCGACCACGAGGTCGTGGGTTCGAATCCCGCCATTCGACTATTGTCGTAAACCATATCCTAGCACAAGCCTAGAGCTTAGTTGGAATGGTTAAAGAAATATTAGTAAATTTACAAAAAAATCTGCTAATATTATAAGAAAAAAAAAGCCTTTCTAAATTTACTAATTACTGCTGTGTTATACTTACGGTGACCATAAGTGTGGACTCTGCGTTCGCCACTAGTACAAAGACATCAGCGTCGAGACAGTACTGGTCTATCCACTGGTCGAGGTTAGGTGTGACGTCAACGCCGGGACTGTCCACCAGCACCACGTCGTCCCGCAGCAGCGCGCACAGCTCGCGCGGCCAGTACACGTGCACCAGCGCGCACTCCTGCAGCCGTGTCGCACACAGCGCGTGCCCCAGCTGGCTCACAGACTGGAAGCAAATTCTACTTTACCTAGTACACTTAAGGTTGATTTTTGAATATTAACAGTGGGTTAGACGACCAAGGTACTGGATGAGGATACTACTTACTTTAAACATATACTCCTTAAATACTTTAAATAAATTAATGTGGTATTAATACACTTATTGGTGCACTCAAAGTTGTTAATTAAGCACTTAGGGAGTCTTTTATTACAGAGTTGGAAAAGGGCGCTCTCTTGAAAATTAGCTAAAATTTTTGATGTCACTTTTCCATGATCTTTTTTTATATCAATGTATGTATGATTGTTACCTGCACGCTGAGCTTCTCCTCGGTACCGTCAGTTCGCATGAAGGCCTCGTCAGTATCGGAACCCTCCACTTGCAGGAAGCAATTAGTGGTGTGCCCGATGCCACTCGGCAGGATCTTGTCGTGCAACATCGCATTTATCACTGTGCTCTTACCATTACTCGTTCTGAAATATATAAATTAACTTAAAACAACAAGAAAACATTAAATTCTTTTTTACATTTAAATTCTGTTTTATGATATAGCTTTATTAATCTAAAAAAAAAATCCCTTTTATAATCACTAGCAAAAGAAATAAAGATGTGATTAACCTGCCAAAGAAGGCGACTTTCATGTGATCTCGTTTAAGCACCTCCCGTATGGCTTGCACCTTGCTGACGTATGCCTCGATATTGGCCACATCCTGCGCACTTGCAATCTTGTTCTCACCCGACACCGCTGAAAGATGTTATATGAATGTTATTATTGCTATAAGAACAATGTTTGAAAAAAAAATTAAAATACATATTGCCCTCCGTTTATTTGTTTGGCAAATGTTTTGGCAATGGAAATTATTAATTAAGAACATTACAATATGTAACTCAGATACACAACGCATGACTTTGATGTGTTATGTAACATAATAAACTTGTTTCTATTGACCTTAATTGTTACATCTGATCATTTAATATTTTATAGATCCGGACTATAACTTCAAATTTAAGTTTCAATGTTTTAATAGTTTGTTGTATGTCATACAAAAATTCATCAAATTATTAATATTTTTAATACTGAGACTATAAACTGCGATGATATTTAGTTGCAGCAGATATGGTTTGCATAACTACAGCAAGATTCGGGATATTCCGTGTGGATGTCCTTAATTAGTACAAAATAAAATAGCTCACCATGCATAAATGTGACCGCATCCTTGACGTAATCATCAATCTCAATGAATATATCGTTGATCTTCTTTTTAGCTCTTACAAATATCTGCAACGGTGAGTCAACATTGGGCATGTTGACACGGACGTTGCCATTGTTGAGTGTCGCGACGTTGTGAGGCCCGTCGCCAGCCATCATCGATATCGTACGGTTAACATACGCAGCCATACGGGAAGGAAAGATGCACGATTTGCGTTAGCCCAACCTTATGCCGAACAATACCAACAATATAGTTTTATTGCACCACTTCTACGGTTCACACAACATGCACGGTGCGACTGCAACAAAAAAAAAACAAGCTGATCTTAGCAGGTGCAGTGATGATTGCAACAAAATAGTGGTGAAATGAGATTAGCTTCCATATTCAGATATTAATTGGTTACTAAGGCACTAGGGTATGTTTTTTGTAGGTATATACCAAATCTACACATTGGTAGACCATTTTACCAGTGTCAATGCGGAAGTGAGAGAATTTAGGACAGCTTGCATATACAAACTAAACAAAATATGTTTTAGCAACTTCACTAACAACATGACAACATTAGATCATTGTATTCCCACTTCTGGTTTGCAAACCCTTTATAGGCAAGTTGCAAAGTTTCAAAGAATTATGGACTACAGAAGGATAGTAAGGATTTATTGGAATCCTGTAAATGTTACCCCCAGACCAACAGTCTAGGAAGTGTCATGTGAAAACTAAAAAAAATAATCTTATGTGATTAGATAAATCTTGCAAACAAAAAACAATGTTTTAAGGTTATTTTTAGATGCACTAAGAAACATGAAGCAAGCTACAAAAAGCAGGTCAGAACCACCCAGACTTCATCAATGACGATAAAAAGTAGCACAGTAAAAAAGGAACACTAATACAGCAAATGTATAGCACCTTATCATCTCGTTGCATCATAGCCATAAGTGCGCATCCCTGTAGACCGAGCCGCGTGAAGGTTTGTGTACAATTTAGAATCACGTATAAATAGAAACCACTTGAAAAAATGCAATAAGACGTAAAACAACTGACAGCCGCTAAAGATAGTCAAACTCGAAACTGATTTACGCTGAATACTGAATTTCAGGAATTCTTAATTTTTCACATTGTCAGTAAAGTCAAGCTCGCCAAACAGCAGTTCTTACCTGTTTTTTACAGCGACATTTTCAGTAAATATTTAACTTATTCTTGTTTTGCGGCATTGATCACCTGTAAAAATTTTCATTTATGATTTTTTCGTATTTTTAGTTTTAATTACATGCTCCTAATCATACTTGATAGTTCGTAAAACAAAGCAATGTCATTGGTTTAAATGAATGAAGTTCCGAGTATTTCGCCCAATGGCAAGAGGGTCTTTTTTTTTGTAAACCTTTGTAATTGAAAATTATTTGCTCTATGTTTTAATTTTTTAAAACGTCATAAGATTAGGTAAAATTCTTAAATTATAAAATTACAAGATTGGATAAAAATAAAATCTGTACATAGGTGCCTGATGACCAAATATTAAATTTTTTATTCCTATTTATTTCAAAAAAATTATGCGCCGGAATTTTAAGTGAAGATTCTGAACGTTAAATTCATAGACAAGCAATAGTAACTTTGGAAATTCAGAAGTCAAGTTAAGTTGGCTGTCAGATTAATAAATGGCGGATGGACGTAAACGGATTTAAAACGAAAGTTGTGTATGTCCGTATAAATTTAGTTTTTAACTTACCATTAAATTGATAATTCGATTTTCAGATTCAGAAATTTGTAACAATATATTAATTAACTAAAAATGTCTCGTTCCGTCCGTGCTGAAACCAGGAATCGTGTAAAAGACGACATCAAAAGAGTCATGCAAGCTGTTGAAAAAGTTCGCCATTGGTGAGAAACTTAATTTGGCAAAAAATATTTTTTAATATCTATTTTAACACATTGCAAATAATATGTTTATTATATAGGGAAAAGAAATGGGTGACAATTGGAGAGACAACTATGAAAATTTACAAATGGGTTCCAATATCTACAAACGAGCAAAAGAAAAAACATGCGGCGAAACGAGAGAACAAGGAAAATACCTTGACCCCCAAAAAGATGCACGACTCTTCAAATTCTAACTTTGGCATGGCTGAAGATTCGAATACGTGTAAGTTATTTTATTTACACTTTTTATTTAATGTATCTAAATTTAAAAATTTTGGGTTAAAAGAAACAACTGAACTGAAATAAGACCAAAATAATTACGCGTGAAATTGCAGATTGACATTTAAATATTTGTTTGATTGATGTTGCAGGTTTTTCAACAGTAAGTGACTCTCAAGGACCAACAGAGTTCACCTCTAGCCATATGAACTTCTCTGAAGACTCAAACTCGCAGAGTAGTGGCACAACAACTCCCGCGAAACGGTTAAAAACAGACTAAGGTATTTAGTTTTAGCACAATTAGTATGAGTTGTATATAATATATGGAACATTTGAAGTGAGTGCATTTATAAAAATAACTATATGTTTACAATTACAATGGTACAATGTATGTGGATAAGTAAAATGCTCATTTAAATGTATCACTATGTGAAACATTAATTAATAGACAGGGCCATCTTGATGTTAGGTGGAGAAAATTCTAGGGACCCTAGATATAATAGCTACTTTGGTGTGTATCTAAGGCCTGGCAACCCTTACTTGTTGCAGTCCTAAATTAAGATTGCCCAATTGATAGACCTTTAATTAAGGCAAAATAGAGAAAATGTGACCAAGCTCTATGAGTTTTTGTTTGAGATCTGTGCAAATGATTAATTGTTGTTAACTAATCTAATAGTGCCTAAATACTATGTCTTAATTGATGAATTGGATTTTTTTTTCTAATAAATTCTTGTCATATTTGAAACTCCTTGTCTATATTTATCAGGAGTCGGTACTATGTTTTTTGAAGTTGTAGATGTTTACATTGACTCAATTTTTTTATTGTCTTAAATGTGACTTAAGAAACAAAGCAGTTGGCGAGAAACTCAGTTTGATTGGTGAAAAAAATTAGTTTCCTATCAGAAATTACAGTTCTTAGTTATCTAGGTATACAAATTTATCAGGGAAATTAACATACCTCAGATTATATTTATATTATGATTAGCATGTTTTTAAAAATAGCTTAGTTTTGTGTACATTGAGTTTATTCTTACGAGGACTTAAATTTGTATCCCATCTGAAAATATAGCACAACAAATTCTAACCTCAACTAATGTACATTGTTAAAGCAAAATATCATTCCTTTAAAAAAAGTAAAAAATAAATTAGCCACATGCTGAAGGTTTGCTGATGAAACTATGTTCTTGTTTACTTATTCATACTGTCACTTTGTATGTAACATCATGAGGCCTCCAGCAAAGCTTCTGAGCATTAGTAGTACCAGTGTTTTAAGAGCTATTATTTATAGTGAAAAATTTAAAGGAAGTGGGTTTGGAATTAATGTCCTTAACCTTAGTAGGAACAAAAACAAATGAAGTCACATGGATTTTTAGGGATAATTTATGAATTAAATACATGAAATGAATTAGAAATGTATCTGGAAATGCAAGTTGTATACCAACTAGTGTTTATGATTGAAACTAGTCGTAATAGCAACAAATACTTTTGTTTTCTTAAAATAACAATAGTAAGATATAATGAATGTGAAACTGACTCAATTTAAGTTTGTTTTTAATTTAAATATTTGATTGTGAAATTCCTTGTTATGTCTGGATTTTTTTTTTAACTTCGGCATAATTACAGATATATATTCTTGTACTTACTATACAGGATATAGTAAAAAGTGCTATCTTCTAATAACATGCTATTCAGCATTTGCTGACAAAATGCTATGGACATATTGATTCATGTATTTCTAAACACCATAATCTATGTGACATGACTTTCCTTACAATATTAAAATAAATTAGTTTGGCAACTATTATGTTTTAAACTACAATTTATATGAAGTAATTTGTCAGAGATCAAAATATCTGGTAAAACATTGTGATACCACCGTTCAGGTCCAGGTGTGTAAGACGTTATTCTAGCAAATTTTGCTCGGTCATATTCTCAGCATGGTCTGAACTAGCATACAGTGCCTGGTGACTAAGACCATAAATATAGTGAAAATGCTCTCAAATCAATGGGACGCGTTATATTAATTTTGTGTTATTTATTTTTTATTTTAATTAATTTTAAATTTTTAGTTTAATTTGTGTGACATTGTTAATATTAAAATTATATGTGAAATATTACTGTAAATAAGAACTATATTCAAATTGAATATTAAAAAACATTTATAAAATAAAAAAGATTTTTATTTTACATAGAACTCCGATATGCCTTATGTGACATATTAGGTTATAGATAAAAAATATTTTGAGAGATTGATGACAGGCTGATGATGATGTCAGAAGTCACTGGGGTGAATAGTTGTCGGAGTCTGTAGAGGTGCTGCGCATGGAGCTCCCCGAACCCTTAAAATACGACTCAGACAGGTTGTCGTAGTCCGCAACGCCGATTATATTTGACAGCAGCTCACTCAGATTGATTGTCTGAAAAATAGTAAAGTAGTACGTGACCTTGACTTCGCCCGTGCGGAATTAAAAAAAAATCTAGTAATAATTATACTATAGGTGACGTCACCCGGGAATAGTGTAACTTGACAACAGTGAAATAATTTTTGAAGTCGGTTCAATAGTTTCGGTGCATATTCAACGCAAACGATCAAATTTTTGCTCTTTTTAACTAAATTTAGTATAGACATGTTTTTAAAATCTCAACGACTTATAAATGAATACATTGGATTTACTTACTTCTGGTAAGAAATGAAAATCTGATTCATACATCGCGGATCGATCCTCAAAACTGTGGCAACACAAAATAGACAAGAGGTACCACGATAGTTCCCGCGGGAATCGTTCACCTGAAAACAATAGTACTTAGGTATTTCTAGACTCAGTATAAAGTTACTACCGAAATAAGTTACATATAATATAATGTTTGCATTTATACCATAATCACTAAGCATATTAATAAATTGATCCCTGGGCATTACGTAAGCGCCATCTATCGGATTGGCGAAATGTTTAAAAGCATTCTTGATACGTCTGGCGCTTTCTAGAAACGCAGGCCGATGGTTCAAATACAGCTTTACAAACTCTTCGAAGTCGATTTCTGTTGAGGGTTGACGTTGATACACTTTATACTTCGCCTCTACAATCAGATTTTCAACCTGGAATAGACAAATTATTTTGTAGCAAATATAGTTCAAAAAGCTGTCTGGCTCGAAGTATCAACCTATCCTGTAAACACTTTTATTTAATTATTGCCAATTGTAAACCTTTAAATTTTCGTATTATCATGGTCACTCTCTCAATCTTTCTTAAAACTATATTTCAAATATTAAAGCACGTTACTTACTTCATATTCAGAAGGAAAGAATCCCAAAGCCCTCATCATATCGGGCAGCGTTTCTATGGGTATGAAGTCTTTTACAGTCCTAATGGAGGGGGAGAAGGTTCCCTGGCATAGGATCTGGATGTAATAGAACAGGTCTCGGATCTCGTGGAACAACCAGCCTGGCCTGCCATTCTCTATCAGACAGTAGTAAGGATCCAAGTCGGTGCCGCCTTGTTTTGTTGTCGTGTCGATCGCCCTGAAAAATAAAATAATCTAACATTAAAAGAATATTAAGCTGTATGTAATTCAATATTAAAAAAAGACAAAATTCAGTAACTCCGCTCTCGTCTCTCGGATGACGTGTCATCTGATATGATGTGCCCTAAGATTACCTATGACATCAATTGCTGTGCCACAAGGAAAAATAAGAGAAATAATACAAGAAGAATACCTGTAATTAGCCGCCCATTGCGTCATGCAGCTATCCTTAGCTCCGATGGTAAATAAACTTCCACAGTCTTCTCGATAACACATTTGTATCACCTATAAAAAATCAATCTAAAATATTTGGAAGATTAAGCAGACTGGAAGACTTAATAGATAGATATATACATACCTCTATGGGATGCCCTAGTAGGCCGATGTGTTTCCAGGGATTGCCGTCAAGTGGCATCTTCTGCAAGCCAACGACGGTCTTGGTGGCGAAAAGCAGGTACTGTGCGCCATCGTCATCGTCACTGCGCGTCACCAGCTGCAGGCGGCGCACCGGCTGCTCGAAACGGGGCCCCAGTACCGTCGACAGCGTCATCGTCGTCTTATAATTTACTATCTTGTATTTGAACTGATTAGGAAATATAATTCATCAACTTCCATTCAAGTGTAGGGAAACAAATTGATTTGGGAAATGTTTAATAAAATCTACACTTAAGAACTGGCTAGTATCATATATGGACTCTGAAGGTGTTAGGTAGACGTCAATGTAATTACTTCATCATTAGCTATCAATATCATGGGCATATCGGTGCGACAAGTCTCCGGGTCAACATCTCTGGACGAGGACCAGGGGATCCCGGCCAGAGGGATGGCGGTCTGCTCTATTCTGTCCAGGCTGAGGATCTCCAAGTACTCTTCGGAGCTGGCGCCGATGTCGTACTCAACCATCGTGCGGTCGGCGCCCATCGATACCAGCTTGTAGTCTCCGCTCTCGTTCTTCTCAGGCAAGAAAAAGACCGCCGTAACTTCTTTGTAGTGTGCCCGATGCTTCGCCACGAAATGCCAGGTCAGTGAAACGCAGTCGTACTTATACAGGCATACCGTCCTACCCGCGTCCTACAAATTATAGAACTTTTTGTCTAACTCCATAGTTTAGCTTTGTCGTTTGTAAATCAAGTTGATTTTATGTTGCTACTCTTACATCAGAGACTTTGTGATAACGTCTTGGTTTTGTCAATATGACGAAGGCAAAAATGTATGTTAATGAAGCAAAAAAGCGCATACAAAAAAGGCAAGAGACAGAGAATCGGGGCTGAAGGACATCTCCTTGATAGAGAATCGGGTGTCTTGGAACGGTGTGTTAGTTCTTATTTCAACCGTCGTTGGATCCAAGAATATCAATTGTCCAGTGTTGAGACCGCATGCTAGGTGCAAACCTGAGAAAAATATGCATAAAAATACGTCACTAAAATACAATGTATCACTCTTGCACATATATGTATATGTATCTTATAAAACTGTTACCGTTGGGAGAGTACTTGAGGCATGTAACAGAGAGCTGGGGGTAGAAGACATCGACAAGGCAGCTGATGGAGTCGTCAGCAGGCTGTGTCACCACCTTGTAGAAGTCCCGCAGCGGCAACCGCGCAAACAGGGTATGCCGCACAAAGTTGTACAGCTCCAGGTTGCCGTCCGCATAGCCCACGCAAACATACGGTCTTTAGAAAGATGAACCGTTACCTATTACGTACGTTTCGCGTATACGCTGTATAATAAACTTCATATCACAAATATGCTACTATGGGGCTTAACTCTACAGCTCACCAGTTTAGATGGTGGAAAGAACTTACGAAATGTTTCATGGTAATTATAAATCATAGAATTTCTCGTACTTCTCAGGGTGCACCGTCATAGCCAGCGCAGGCGATATCTTGTTGTCCAGGAAAGTATTATTGTTCTCTGCCACGAAATCCACAAAGCCCACACCCTGGTTCTTTGTACCTGAGCAAAAATAGTTTCAGTGTGGCAGGTATTTTCGTAAAAAAGATTTCAGTTCGCAGATCATTGGATTCCAATAGAAACAATCCTAAAACTCGTTTCACATAAAGGTTTGTTTCACATATTCGTTAGGTTTCCTTACACACGATAAAATCCCTGACGACGAAGGGCTTGTTAGGGACAGTGGCGTCGGAAGGCAACTTGCTCTTCATCAGCTTCTGTCGCCTGGCGCCTGTCACCGGGTCTACCTTGAGCACCACCTTCTCCCAGCACAGGCATTGCTTATTGCCTGGATAATTATAAAATTCATATTTTATTTAAATATCTAACTGAAACCCACGAATTTTGAAATGAAGGTCTAACAGACGAACTCGGAGTCGATCGAGGGTGTTCTTTAGGTTAAATTTAGTATATAAAATCTTCTGTGATGGTCTTCTAAAGTTTGTGTTTTGAATGCGAATATGTTCTCAAGGGAAACGAACGACTCATTGTGGAATTGTGTTCGTACAATGCAAAGCTTGCAGTTACATTTCGGGTCAAGGATCTGGTAACTCCTTGGCGAGACGTTGAAGCTGAGACCTGTCACCTTGTCGACGGTGAAGCCGTGCACCCAGTACAGCAGCTTCAGCTGAGGGTCGTAAAAGTGGATACCACCCTCGCTATTGCCTGTCACTATAACTCTGAAACAATGTACTTAATGAAAGACAGCAGTTTTATGTCTTCAATTACGATATGTATTCTATATAAAGAGAATATTAATCCAAATAATACGTCTGTAGTTCTAATACGATGAGATAAACAGTTCACAAGTGTGTTGTAAGCCAATGTCACGCAGTTTCATGATCTGTTATGAAATAACACATACCCATCGATATTTTTAATGATCTCTATTCTACATTGTTGTATCTTCAATCCCTTAACAAACTTCATATCCTCAATATTTTTCGTATCTTGTACGTTAGAGTTGAACTCGGACGTATAGCCATACACCAGCGCGTAGCCACGGTTGGTGCCCGCCAGTATCTGGCCCGTCTCCCTCACGAAAGTGAAGCAAGTCAACTTGCCAAACTCCGCGTTTTGCTTCCTTTGCACCGTTAGTACTACTAACTCGTATGTATTAGTATCTTTTATCACTCCTCGCTCTGATATAAATACTTTCTGGAACATAAAATGGATGCTGTTATTTTTAAATGCTTGATTTAATTTCCTTTACTACTGGCAGGATATAAAATGCTTACTAATTACGTGACTTCTGTTTAAAAAAATTAATGTACTTGATATAGTGCTAACCCTAGATACACCGATCCATATATCGTGTTTGGTCATCAGCACAAACTGTTCAGTCTGTATCGGGTTGAAGGCCATGTCAAGGATCGCGCCGCGAGGCATGGACAGTTCCAGAGTAGCTATATTGTCGATTATGATTATTATTCAATAATAAAGTTAAATCGTAGTTATAGATTTTCAAAATTAATATTAATATTATATTTATTCTGTAATTTGTGAACCCTCTAGAAAAATCTGGTTTAATCTATGTTATTCAATTTAAGACAAAACTTTACCGTGGGGTTCATCATTCCCGAAGGACCATATCCACCAGTATACGACGGCCTTCTCCCTATAGCCTATAGTAAGGAGATACTTGGCGTCGGGGCTAAGCGTAATTTTGGCGATGTTGGTACCCCCGTGCGGAGAGAAGAGTGTCTTGACAGGGAAGTTGTCGCAACTGTCCCAAACTATGAGAACGTTTTCAGGGCCCGAGTCAGCAGTCACCAGCCACTTGCCCTGGCTGTCTGCGGCTATGCACGTCACTATGTGCTTCTGAATTATAAATTAGGCATCGTTAGTAACAGTCTATATGTCTAAAAAAAATTAGACCACAGATTAAAAAACATTTTTCCCGTTCTAGTATAACTTATGAACGCTCTACTTTATAATCCGGTATTGTGCAGGTCTTCTATGGACCCCAGGAGGTGGATCCGGTCTTTTGGAATCGTTGGTCTATTAATTAAGTTCCTTACATGTCCTTGCAGTATCCTCATCTCGTTGGTGGTCCAGTTATAGAGTACGGCGCAGTTGCCGGCGGCGTATAGCGCGATGGTGCTGCCCTCGTCGTTCAAGTTAATCACACCCACCTTGGCGTTGTAACCGTGGATCCAGCGAATGTTCTACGATTTTTATTATATAATTTTACTTCTGTTTTCTCTTAAAAGGGGTTGTTGTAAACATGTGACAGTACAAACATGCTCTATTGCCTGCCATCTGATGCCCATTTTATGAGATTTGCGAAAGAGGTATTATTTTCTAACTTTAAGATTCAGATGCAAAGCAAAATGCAATAAGTATACGATTAGATGCAATGGTTTCTAACACTAATTCTCCCCTACACAAAAGACCTTAGGGACCATAATATGCCTATACATGTGGCAGTAAAATTAGTGGAAATTGAGAGAAATGAGGTTACGAATGGCGAGGGTTTGTAGTGATAGTTGCCGAGCTCCGAATGTTTTCTGATCTGCGAGAGGGAGAGGCTGTAGAGGCGGCGCACGTCGATGTCGCTCGCGGCACGGCTGCTGCCGCTCGGATGTGACGTCATCTCACTTTTTACGTATGTTGTATGTTCTAGTATGAGAAATATTCAAAAACAATTCTCATACACTTCTTCACGCTTTACAAACTTGACAGTGATTGATAATTTGACAGTATTTTATTGACAAATAAGTTTTTTTTTTCGACGTTTGAATATCAGAGAATAACTTAGTGGATAAAAACCGAATAGCGCTTGGTTACATTATTTAATTAATTTACAAATATTGGTTTACTGTTGGGTTCTGCTATAAAACACTGAATTGAGTTTCAAACAAAGCTACCATTTCGATGGACAAGTACGCCTCTAATCTATCTATCTATCTAATTTTGTTGGAACTAAATCGACTTAAGTCTAAGTTAAAGACCTCTTTTTCAATACCGTGACTTGCCACGCGGCACTTCTACTCTCAAGATTGCGCCATTTCCACTAACATAGCAATGACTCTCACAGAAATCGATGTTAAAGGGCTAGTCGTATTAGTGGAAAAGTGTCGTAACACAAGAAAGTTATCACAGAACAACGATCACGTTTTCCTGGACGTTCTTCAATGAAGTGCTCCTTCTTGGAATTGTGATAACTAATTAGTTATCGGTTGTATACAACGAGGAAAAATGCATATAATGCCATATCATATTTCGTTTAGGTATGCGAAACAGGAGATTGAATCAAAGGGCGTCAACCAGTGTTGTCGCTTCAGCGTTATCTCAAGTCAAGGGTCAAATGACTGCGAACACGAGCGTTCAGTCTTTGTCAGTCCGCCAACATGGCCGCCAGCTGTTCAGTGTTGTGCATCACTCTGCTAATACTGCAAGTAAAATGCAACACTATATTCTTAGAAATGAACACACCTACAACTGAAGAGGTATATCTTTGTTAAATTTAATTAATACTAGTTTTGAAATCTCCCTTATCTCTGTAACATCCTTGAATATATTTTTAAATAATCTACTTACTGTTTTTATCTTCTTGAGTTACTTAAGATGTATTATTTTTTTTGTTTTAATTAAAGTTGCAATGTCGTAATTACTTAATTCCAATTACGATTTTAAAAAAATATTTTTATTTGATAAAAGTTTGAATAACACATTAACTGCATTACTTAGAAGTCGAGTAGTAGATTCGACTTCTGGAAACTAAACTATGTAGTTTACTTTAGTTACTTTTATTTTTATTATTATTATATTAAAGTCGCTCATTATGACATGTAGCCAAAACAATTAAATTTCCCTAAATATTTTAAGTGATGTCGAATTTCCTTTTGCATGTTTTTAATTTACCATGATTATACGATACTAAGGCGACGTTCCTGAGGAGGTACGGCTACTTGCCGGAAATGCAGGGCGACATCAGTTTCTCGTACACGCCGCAGTCGCTAGCGGAGGCCATCAGGAAGATGCAGCAGTTCGCTGGACTCCCGCCCACTGGACACCTCGACGAGGAAACGAGAAGCGTACGTTCATAAATACCTAATTCCTTCTAGGAAAACATTATATTTGCCCACGCGATTCAGTTCAGGGCCATTGGAATAAAAGCACATCTTTCAAATATTTTTCCTGCTTTTAAGCCGTGCTTTTCTTTATTTTTTCATGAATTCTATCAAGATTATCATAGAGAAACAGCGACTATAGAGTCTGCTTGTGTTTGTTTTCTATCTATTTAATTATTAGTATTGCTAGTAATAACTTAAATATGTTGTTACAGTTGTTTAAGAAGAAGCGTTGCGGTGTTAAGGATATAGAGAACAGTCCCAGGTCCCGCAGGTACATCTTGCAGCAGGGATGGGGGAAGAAAACCATTACTTATAGGTACTTACACGTTAATACAATAGACAGCGATAAGCAATATAACATTTCAGGATAGCATACTTTGGCACCTCTATTTAAAATCTGCCGAAGCCTTTTGACTATAGGGCGTTACAATGGAAAAGACCCGCCTACCATTCGGGAAAAAAAATCTATGGCCACCATTATACACCATTGTTTTTCTTGTTTACATGAGGTCAGAGTGCTAAATGGTTCGAGCACATTGGAGAAGGAGCGCGTGCGGGCGCTGATGGCGCTGGGATTGGCGGTATGGGCGCCGCACGGCGGACTACGCTTCAAGCAACTGGACGACGGACACGCAGACATACAGGTCTCCTTTGCCAGCAAGGACCACGGGGACGGGTCAGTTACAATTAATCGCTTACAAAATATATTAGAAAAAAATTATACATAACACGTTGACCTTTGTAACGTAGGTTTCCTTTTGACGGGCCAGGTCGCGTGGTCGCGCACGCGTTCCCGCCGCCGCACGGCGCCATGCACTTCGACGACGACGAGGTGTGGGGTGACGGCACCGGCGAGGACATCACCGACGATGACGTCACAGACTTCTTCGCGGTCGCCGTGCACGAGATCGGGCACGCGCTCGGCCTATCGCACTCCAACGTCAAGTCCTCCGTCATGTACCCCTACTACCAGGTGCCCGTCGAGAAACTGCACATGGATGACATTTTGGGCATGCAGGAGCTCTACTGTAAGACAATTGTTTCATCATCAGCTCACTATACGTCCCCACCGAGGGGCTCGGAGCCTACCCTAAGTTAAGGGTAAAGAGGCCATAGTCAACCACGCTGGCCAAGTGCGGATTGGTTGACTATTGACAGACAATTGTTTGCTACGCATATAAAAAGACTCCCATTATTTTCTTCATCTTCACTATGTGTCTCTGAATTGTTACTGTAGTGAAGGAAGAGTTGCCGAGCTCCGGAGAGAGTACGGAGCGCGCGTCGCGGTCTTCTTTAGCGCCGCACTTCACGCAGACCGCAGACAGCCCCGAGGAGGATCTGCCCGACCTCTGCCTCTCTCACTACGACACCATACAAGCCATACACGACAAGATATACGTTTTTGAAGAAGAGGTACATAGATAGCATTTTTTACTTCATGCTAAGGCAGTTTTCCAGATAACAAAGAAATAAAAAATAGCGTGAAGGGTTCAAACATGGGAAACTTTATAAATTCTCGAAATATGTCAATTAAATGATAAAATTTACGCCTGTAAGTATACCTAAAGTAGGTTTAATTGACACAGATATATCAGCGCAAACGATGAGTTGAACTTCCGATGCAACATAGATAACGACCAAAACATACATTCAGTGCAAAAATTAAGAGAACCGCTTTATTGTAACTACATTCTACAAAGGAATTTCAATATTGCATTTTAAGACACAGGTTTCAGAATTGTTTGTTATCCTTGTGCAGTGGGTATGGGTGTTCCGAGACCGACGCGAGCTGGAGGAGGGCTATCCGCGCCGCATCCACGACGTCTTCATCGGCTTGCCCAAGCACGTGCAATTCATACGCGCCATCTACCAGAAGATAAATGGCAACATTGTCATCTTCTCAGGTATATTGCCATTGACTTATCTAATATTCACTAAATTAGACTTTATTTTGTTCTACCTGTACCCGTGACTTCGTTAGCGTGGAATTAAAACAAAAAATCAATATAAGTTAGTCCCGCATACATCAGCCAGTAAGTCACGTAAAACACTGGTCAAACGTAGACTTGCGGTTTTTTTTTTGTTATAAGCAACGCAACATGATTTATGTTCATTATAATCACATTCATTCAGTATACAAAAGACATTGTAAAATTATAATGGCACGGAACGTGTGTTCAGGTCGTAACTACTGGGAGTTCAGCCGTCGTTTCCGATTGGTACGTCGCGGGCGCACGTCCGAGTTCGGTTTGCCGCGCCGCATCGAGCTGACCACTGCTTTCCTCTCCAACTACAACAACCGCACCTATCTCATCAGTGACGACCACTTCTGGCGTTACGACGAGCGGCGCGACGCCATGGACCGCGGCTACCCCAAGCACATGGCCGCCTGGAGACGAATTCCTAGCCCGGTAGAAGCCGCGATGGTGTGGAAAGGAGGTATCAAGATAGCTTACATTTTTTATAAAATCTTTGAATTTCTCCTCTCGAATGAGATTCTACTACTAGTCTAACCTAACCTATTCCATAAGTTCCAAGAGGACAACATAATTCTATAGAATTGTTTCAAACTAAGAGTTCTGTCGTAATGTTTCCATGAATACATTGCTAAAATAACGCGTTTTTCAAGTGTTAGACGTAAAAAAGAAAACGAATATTTTGGAATTTTTTTTATATAAATGTTTGGGCAGTGCAAACTCACTATGTGCAGTTAAAAGACCAATTCGTTGCAGACACGTATTTCTTCTGCGGCCCGCGTTTCTGGCGCTTCGACAACGAGCTTGTGGAAGCGCACGCTTACTATCCGCTGCCCACTGCCCAGGTCTGGTTCCCTTGCGAGCCCACGCCGGAGATGAACAAGTACCTCACCAACGACGAATCTTAATATACTACCATACAAACTTTATGCCGGTTCGAAATTTCGGACTAGACGCTGTGCCCAACATAGTTTTCAGCACACGCTTTTGTTTAGCCCCAGTGGACCCAAATGCGCTCGAAGCGAACGGCGAACTGCCCTAAAGTTTGAATTTTTTAATATATTAGTTATGTAATTGATTTTTTTCTGTAATGCATATAGATGTTATGTTATAATCGAAATAAAGTTAAGAGTTATTTTTAATTAGTTATGTGTTTTTTTCAACCATAGAGAAGTGGTCCTTCTATAAAATAAGAGATGACTTCATTATTTTAAATCTCATAACGTCGTTTTACGTAAATAAAACAAAACTTTAAGAGACGTAAGTTTTAATAAGTTTAAAATCACATTTACAGAACAAAAAGCGACGGAAAGTTAAGAAATTAGATATATTCAACAATAATGAAATAGTAAAACACGCAAATAATACTGTAAAAGATTAAATATCAAGGAATATTAACAATAACATTTTATTTTTGTACTGTAAACATTATAACAATAGAGGATACTCTTATTATTTTAACACATTCAAAGCCTGAAGCAATTACTTTCCACTGGGAAGGAAAATTTTTACTCTGTGTTATCCATTTATTTTTGTCTATGGTAAAATAAAGACGGGGTAAAGAAAATGATCCTGTTTTATCGAGCTGCATTCGTGCACGAGGAATGTGCAATAAAAAAAGTCATAATGTTAAATAAATTTAATTCAATTATTTTGTTCAAATACTTATTTGTGACAGACTCAATCTTTTTCACAAACAATTATAACGAATTCAAATATAAAGTTTTAAACACTATAAATAAACGATTTTACTTTACATATTGGAATATTGTCTATGTTGGTCGTGTGGGAGTTGGGGGAGTAGTGCAGGAGTTGTGGGGGAGGTGGGGTTAGTCTAGCTGCAGCAGGAGGCGGGGTTGGGGTCCTTGCCGGAGCGCTTAGTGATGTTGAGCCGGGTGAACTCCTCGGCGACAGTGGGGTGGATTCCCACAGTATTCATCAGCTGCTCCATCGTGAGACCACATCTAATTGAACAATAATAAGCGTTAATAACGTCATATATAACTAAAGGGTGAACTGACACATTAAATATATTATGAATGAAATTTTCTTTGCTTTTCGTCATGATTACAATCTCTGCCTACCCCTGCTTGCACAGGCTTCAGTTATGTCGTTTTCAAACTTAATTATGATATATAAAGAGTTCGTATGCGTGTGTACTGACTTGATGGCGGCCGCGAAGCCCTGTATGACCTCTCCGGCGACAGGGCCGACAAAGTGCAGGCCGAGCACGCGCTGCGGGGGCGCGCGCTCCGCCACCGCCTTCAGGTAGCAGTTGCGGATGTTGCGCTGCGGGATGAAGAACTCCGTCGGCTTGTAGTACGCGTGGTATACCTCCACAGCATCCTCGCCCAGTCTGCTTAATCAAAAAATAAATCATCGTCTATGACATATTCAACTTTATTTTTATGACAGCGCCATCTATATTTCATTATGACATAGAATCCATTTTGAATGTTTTTATTTCATAATCGTAACGATACAAAATGCAAAATACAACAACGTTACGACAAGATTCATAAACATTAGCTTTCTAGGTAGTAAAGTCGAATTTGTATTTCCCACAATATGAAAAGCGTTCTCACACTATTAAAACCCTTTTCCACTAAAGAAACAACCACAAGCTATCCCTATAGTTTTTAAAAAGTGCAAAGGAAAAAGGTTGTAGGATATTGACCTTGCGATAGCAGTCTCCTCGCTGAGTCCTACGCAGCCGTACTCTAGCGGCGTGAAGACGGTGGTGGCGACGTTGTCGTAGTCCATGTGCTGAGCGGCGGCGGCGAACAGCCTGCGCGCCAGCAGCCGGCCCGCGTGTATGGCCACAGGCGTCAGCTCGGGTCGCCCCTCCAGCACGTCGCCCACTGCGAAGATGTGCCCCACGTTCGTCTGCTCCGTTGGCGCTGAGATCTTGCCGCTCTCCGTCACCACCTACATATACAAGGTCTTGCTATTAATACGAATGTTTAGATGGATGTTTGTTGCTAGGTATATCTCCAGAACGGCTGCATAGATTTTGCTGAAATTTGACACAAATGTAAGACAAAGTTCTTCTAGTTTATCGCGAACGTAGTCGCGGGCAAAAGCTAGTCTCTACATATTTTAAAATCTACAAGAATAATTCTGACGGCCAATGGACAAACATCGATGTTTACTTTCTGTTAGTAAGTATGTGGGGTATACTGACAGTGACGCCGGCGGCGGGCAGGTTGAGGGCCTTCGTGAGCGCGTAGCGACCTGTCGCCATCAGCACTGTGTCGAACACGTCCTCACACCTAAGTACACACAAAAAATAAAATTTAGCAATTCTTTATTTATTTCAACACATTTTATATAATATAAGTTTCTTTACTAAATATGCAACATAAATATATATGAAAGAGAGATTTAACTTAAATATATACTGACTGTTCGCCGGTGTCGGTGTTCTGCCAGCGCGCCTTCAGCTGGCCGCTCTCGAGTTTCTCGACGGAGAGCGGCACGCACTTGTGGTGGAAGCGCACGCCGCGCTCCTCCATCTCCGACGTCACCAGGTGCGCCATCTGCTGGTCGAACCCTCGCAGTGGCACTGACCGCACCAGCACCGTCGCAGAGTACCCCAACGAGTTCAGGAATCCCGCGCACTCAAGACCGATGTCTGATTAAAACATGCATATGAGAACACTGTCGCATTTACGTATTCACAGATATTAGTCAAATGGAATAAGTTTAAGTAAAATAATCAGCCAAAATAATTAAAAAGCTACTCGGTATTAGTATTTCACGCAAACGAATTCGCGGGCACAACTATTTATTATATAATGTTGTGGTAAATACCACAAAATGATAAGTTTATGTAAATAAAAATAATATTTACATCCAGCACCAACGACGAGCGTCTTGCCGGGCGGGTAGCCGAGGCTGAAGATGTCATCGCTGCTGATGCAGTACTCCAGCGCGCCAGGTATGTCGGGGTAGTGAGGTCGGCCGCCCACCGCTATGACAATGTTCTTAGCCGTCAACTCTTTCTTGCTGCCGTTCTTCAACGTAGCAATTATCGTATGCGCGTCTTTGAACTCTCCTAAACCGTTTATGTATTCAATCTTCTTATCTCTAAGATCAACTCGAGTCACCCAGTTGACTGATTTGATGTGATTCTGTACTGCCTCTGTTAACGAGCTCCAGTTTATCTTGATGTCTTTGGGCGATGGCACCTCCCAGCCGTATGACACCGCTTCCTAAATATAAAACTTACCGTGAGTTTCTGACGCCGAAATCTCCGATTAAAACATGTTGTTATCTCTGTTTTGTCAAATATGAAAGACAGGGATAACAATATGTTTTATACAGAGATTTTGGGATCAAAAAGTTACAGTTAAACTAGAGTTTATTTTTATAACCACTCGTAGTGGCCTGGAGCGTGTTGAAAACGTGTCTCAAACGAAAATTTCATAAGAAACTATAATGGAAACAAAGTTGAACGTGACTAAAAAATCGATAACTTAACAGGAATAACAAGAATGCTAGTTATTGTTATCATTATTTTTCCTTACTTTGTATCACTTTGTTATACAAAGAACAGCTACGTAGATTACGTTGTCTGCGTATTTTATTTAAAACGAAGAATAACTTACATAATATAATAATTTTTTCAATAAATTGTCAAATTTTACATTTATTAACTTAATTCAAAAGACAAAGGGGCAAAGTTAAAGTGGTTATTGAAAATATTAATAAACTATAATTAAGGCATTTCTTTAACAAAACATCCCAGTGGTTTTTATAAAAACATACAATACTGCTTTCATCTGACTACATTAATACTGTCACGGTAGTCACCTCCTATTGGTTTCTTTACCGTCACAAAAATAACGTACACCTGATTTGATTTGAATTATTGTAATTCAACCTTATATAAAATGGCCTTAACCTTGGCAACAAATTAATTCGATTCCCTCGTGACTTCGTTTTAGTCACAGGTTTTTTTAATCGACGTCATGCAAAGGAAAAACGAACACAAAATTTTATAATAAAATGTACACAGCTTTAAAAATAAAACAGGTTTGTGAGATATATTTTTCAAAGATATATAAAGTTCTACTGTTTATGAATACAAAATACATAAGAATTTTGGGAACAGTATAGGCAGTGTTTCTAAATTCCAAATTGAGAACGAACACATATGTAAACTGTCTCTAACCCTTACTAATATTATAAATGCAAAAGTTTGGACGAATTGATGGATAGATGTTTGTTAGAAGGTATCTCCAGAACAGTTCAACGGATCGCGATGAAATTTGTCATGAATGTGTTCTACATTAACACATAGTCTGCATGAACACATAGGCTACTAATTATTTTTAATTCCGCGCGGACAGAGTCGTGTGCGTCAGCTGGTTTATAAAATGGGCGTTTCTAATGACGAATTACTAAATCTATTAACACCGTATACGAACAACATTACATAACCTAACATCCTGTAACATAACTAACACGGGAAACATTTATTATTAACTATAGTAATATGTAATTTTATTGAGTCATTAGCGTGATTGTAGCACGTGGTACGTCATCATTACCACGCAAATCATTCACACCAATTTATTTATGTTAGATGATAACGGTACATAGCTGTGAACATATTTATGTTAGGCGATAACTTTGTAGAGTTTTGTTATACATTTCATGTGATATTCTTGGTACTAGGAGAAAACGAACCGAGTTGCCCCACTTACTAGACGCACTGGCAAGTTTGTGCCAAAGTTCCTGCTTATCCCCTAAAAATCGTAAAAGAAATTACTGCCCCCTTGATCACCTGACGTGACTCTTGCACACCTTTATAATTCGTACAGTTTTTACCAATGGCATTCTTTGCCTTCCTATGTATATTGTAAACTTGGATTGCATTTGCATAAAACATTTAATAGGATTTAATTGATCAGAAGATATTTCCGATCAATCAATTCATTACAAGTATCTGACTATTACTCTAAGCATATTTACGAGTATAATCAATTTATATCATTCATTCCAGAAAACGAACACAATGTTGCGTTTGCATTGCATTATTTGAATTCAAATGACACAAAAATCCGGCGAATAGTATAAGCGAGATGAGTTTACATTACTACGGCAATTTTAATAAAACAAACACCCGATACTATATCGCTAAGAAATTAAGGAATTGAACACATTATAATAGATTAAATATCATCCAAGACAACAATCTTAAAAATAAACTCTTTTATGTTCAAGTTAAATGAAAACTATAAACAGACTAATAAAATCACTAATTACTACGAACTACTACGATGTGTTTTCATATTAAAGCGATAAATGTTTGATAGTTAATGATTAGGTTCCCTTTCTTGTTACTAGATGTCGCACCAAGGATACAGATTAGCAACGAGCAGAGGTATCACATAACACACTAGTATGATTCATACTAGCACAGAAATGATTGTTTTATAAACATTCGAATTCTACTAATTGCACTATAATATCACTTCCATAAGAACAGATTGAGTTAGTTTATAATTAAAACATAACTCAAGCTTACTACTTTTATACAAGAGCAAGACAAGTTCCATTGTAGAAAGCGGCCATTACATTTTAGATTTTTATCTATTTTTTTTTAATGTTGCTAATTTTTTATGGGATTGTGAGAAAAAAATTATAATAAATTTATTAATTTTTGCGTGAAATCTAACTATCAATTATACATTGTAGCTCAATAAAGTTAAGGAAACCGCAAAAAAACAATATGACACACAATTTTGGTGGTATGAAAATGTTAAGAATTAAATGACGCGTAATTGTACAAAACCATGATTAGTCACTTTGAAAAGGTAACTCAGATTTGACGGAAATCCCAATATTAATTAAATTAAATTCCATATTTTCTGACATTTACAATGAATAAATCTATTTGCTTTAAAGTATTAAAAATTTATTTTGCCAATACAATATTAAGATTATCATCATTGTCGGATACATAATATTCGCATATGTATTTTTTTATTTCTCCACAATGGAATTTTACCTGCAATATTTTCCCACTGCATACAATACTCTAAAAGGATAATTTTTTTATATTTCACATGTATAATACTGGCAGCTGAAATATATTTAATAAGAAAAGATATTTAAATAATATTCAAAAACATCTAACTAGCTTAAGTTTCATTTTGAACCTAAAAAATTTAATATAAAACCTTTTACACCATATTAGGACACTGGCAACACCATTATCATATAACTGACTATGCATCTTTTAAAGGTTGATTTTAAAAAATGTATAAATATTTTATTAAAATAAAAAAAAAAACTACATAAGTACCATAAAATGTTTAAGGAGAATAATAATAAAGAATAATAAAAACTCTTACATCATTTTCCAACATTAAAACCAATATCTAATTCAATAACACTTAGATTTGGTTCAATGCCAACTTCAAAGGCAATATAAGATAAGATTGTTACAAAATATAAATAAATATTTATTTATTTATAAATACATCTAGTTAAATAAAATATCTAAAAGATATAATAACCATAGAATAGATATTCTAACTAAGCGAGGAAGTAAGCTATTTCAGGAATAAGTTACAAATGCTAAAAAAATTATGTTCATGTGGGTAGTTACGTTAAATTAATTGTAATATTCCTATAAATTTGATCAAAATCCTTTTATGCATATTTATATTATGGTTAAGTGCCAGTGGTTTTTTACTTTTCATATTTAAACTAAAAAGTTCCTACAAAATTACTACTACTTTTTAAGTAATACAACATATTTTATAAGCAATATCAACATTATTTGAATCAAAATCAATACCAAATAATCCATATGTACTGTAGACCAGGATCAAGGGATAGGATGTGGAAGGAAGAGCCATAGGAGTATACTTACCGGTCCCTAAGAAAAAATAAAAATAAAAGTCAATGCAAAAAGACTTAATTCTTAGACATAAAACAATAAAGTTCAAACATTTCAATAACCACTTTAACTTGTAAGAATTTCATAACAATTGCAATTGTAAGGTAAATTAAATAAATTGTTTAATACTTACATGTATACTTTCTCCGAGTAGAGCAGCCTGATGCATCAACTTCTTAGGTATACACCCAACATTCACACATGTACCACCGAGACCCCATTTTGTACCCAACGGTGAAGGGGTTACATAATCTAACACAGCCACTTTTGCTCCATGATTAACAGCTTCCTTTGCACAGGCCAATCCTCCAGAGCCACCACCGATGACTGCCAGGTCATAGTCAAATGTGCCATCTAGAATATGGGTTTTTTCTCTTACAGTTATATATTGCCAATTGGTTTCAAGTTAGTACAGATTGATTTATTGTTTATAATAATTAGGTTATTATTTAACTAAAAAGCAGGAATTTGTACATATCTAATCTATACAAGTGTTGTAAATTTATCCTTGTAAAATGAGTTTTATTGTGTCCCATCAGGGTAGATTGAACAGTTACTTCTTTTAAATGCAAAACCGTATCAATCCATACTAACCACATATATTTACAAAATAAGTAAGCAACAGACATTTTATAACATATAGCTTTGTGATGTTCCCTTAGATTTACATGTTAAATTGTACATACTTAATCCCAAACCTCTACAAAGACTATAAACCTTCAATAGAAGTATTTCATTCACCATGAGTTTCCACTGCCAAATTTTGTGAACAAAAATATATTGTAATTTCTCTTATTTACTTTTAAATAATAGAAATACCAATATGCATGATAAATAATGTTACTGCACAATGTTTTATCATTAACTTCAGTGACACACTACACCATGGTGAAGGAAAATCTATCATACCTTTATCAAAACCATGTAATGGTGCAACCATTGTGCCTTTACAACTACAACATATTGAACCTTGGTTGTCATCAACTAACTATTTTATTATTGCACGATAATATCTTAAAATATACAAGTCATGTTTTACCAATACTCTATAGAACTCTTTCTTTTTATAGAACTTCCTATAAGTTCTTATCATCAAGATGTTTATATAATTATTTTGGGGAAATTATGTGACAATACTTTCAATGGTAATGGTATAATGATAACTTTTTCCAACTTTATGATGTAATTATTAGGATAATACCACAAATTAATACTGTTTTAGCTATTTCGGGCTTTCAGTGTTATTTAATTGCAGAAAAAACTTGATGAATTGAAATCATCTCAGAATAAGTAAACTGACAAAGAGACTGAAACACAAGTATTTCGAGAATATAAAAATTACATAGACTAAATTGGTTATACTAAAAAAATTAAAAGCTGAATCTTAGGTATCACTTTTATCAGAGTAAGAAATCTCGATAACAATTTCATTTATTCCTACAAGATTCATACACAAGTTAAAGTTAGGTTATGAGGTACTTAACATTTCAAGGCCAAATTTACAATTACCACAAGTTACTTACGGTTCGAGAAAGAACGTCGTGCCAATAAAAATATACTCTCAATTCTTTGCAAAGGCCTGTTTGAGCTCGAAATTTTTAGAAAATTGTTTAACATTGTCATAATGACGTATGACGTTTAGAGCTACTGCAATCTTGAAAAAGTGTACACTTGCACCTACGCAAACATTTATTTTGTTTTCTTAATAAATTCACAACTTCATTGATATTTTAAAATGAAAACCGTGCTTATCACCGGAGCTAACCGCGGATTAGGCCTCGGAATGGTTAAATATCTCACACAGCAAAATAAGGCTGAAAAGATTTTCGCCACTTGCCGGAATGCATCTGAGGTATGTATAACATAAAACAACTACTCACCGATTGGTGCCATTGTCACTTAAAATTCAAATACAGAATTAAATATGTAAATCTAATGGTTTTAAGACGTCTTCCCAACAACAAAGCTTGTAAAAAATTACTTCTGCTCAATGTAATGAACTAATAAAGGCTAGTTTTTAGTAGTTACTAGTGCGTGGGAAAGAGACGAATTGCTACGCTTTACTGACAGCTGACGTCACTTGATCGTGACGTATATATTCTGTGTTCTTTGATTCTTAGTCATTGGATTCAGTTTATTTAAGCATAAAAATTACAAGGAAACATTATTATGTCATTGATAAATCTTAAAACTAAAATCAAATCATTAAAATACAATTTTTATAAAAAAAATATTTGCAATGCATGCTTCAAACTGCACAAGAAATCCTTAATTTGACTTTCACTTAAAATCTCAATAGCCTAATAATTAGCCAAGTAAATTGATAACTTTGCTTACAGGAACTCACAAAGCTTTCAGAAAAACATCAAAATCTCCATATCTTACATTTAGGTAATCAAGTATTTATGTTTAAATTAATACATTTTAAAAGAATTAATGTATTTCCTTAAGTTGTAGTTTACAATGCTTAAATTGTTATCTTTATATCAGATGTTAAACAACTTGAAACTTATGGCGACTTTGCATCGAAGATAAAACAATTACTAGGCAATGACGGTCTCAATCTACTTATTAATAATGCTGGAGTGACAACAAAATTCACCAAACTTAGTCTTGTAAAAGAGGATCAATTGATGGATAATTTTACTGTAAATACAGTCGCACCAATAATTCTTACTAAGGTAACTGGTTCTTAATAAAAATTAAAACTATGAAAAAAAAACAGAAACCTTGAAATACGTCATGAATAAATTACGTATTGCACAATATTGCATTAAACTAAGTCTTACCCAAGTACTACTTAAATACTCAACGTTGCAATGTCGTTTGCCGATCCAATTTATTTTCGTTCAACAAATATTGTCTACGTTTAGTTGGTAAATATATAACTTGATAAAATACATAACAATATAATAGCCACTTTGTCATTTTAGACTCTTCTGCCACTCTTGATACAAGCTGCTGATGTAAATAGCGAAAAACCGGTTGGAGCGAATCGCGCGGCGGTCATTAATATGAGTTCAGTCCTAGGATCCATAGCACAAAACGATCAAGGCGGTTTTTACCCGTATCGATGCTCAAAGGTAAAATATTTTTTATGGACGTAAAACGTATTGAAAATTAATTTTTATTCAATTTTACGCCTTACAATATTTGTATGCTTCTAGGCTGCGTTAAACGCGGCAACAAAATCGATGAGTCTCGATTTGAAAAAGAATCAAATTCTTGTGGCTTGTATGCACCCGGGCTGGGTGCGGACCGACATGGGCGGGAAAAACGCGCCGCTAGATGTCGATACAAGCATCAATGGAATTTTCAATACAATAAACAAACTAGGAGAGGGCGATAGTGGAAAATTTCTGCAATACGATGGAAGTGAATTGCCGTGGTAATAACAATGAAGGTTTGAAATTTTTATGTTACAAGTTTGATAATATGATGATGTTAATAATTGCGGATGTAATAATTTATAACACCTGTAGGTTTACAGGTGTTATAAATTATTATTTTTAAGATGAGTAATACTTTTAATTCTGAACCTAAGGCACAACGGGGCCTTTATTTTGGGATATTTATGGTAATAAACAGGTGATGGTTGATAAATAAAAGTCAAACAAATATTCACATTATTAATTGTTGTTAGATAAAAATACCAATAAATAATTTTGTTTTAGATATTTTGTTTAACTTACCTTGCGCTACTTTCCAAAACCGTATCATCTCTTCCTTCTTTTCTTTCTTCTTAAAATTTTATTTACCGCATGATTTTGAAATCTGACGTTGACATTTTCGCAATATTGTACGTTTTGAAATATTTTTAAATAATCAATTTTTATGACATAAAATTGCAACAAAATTCAAAATCTCAAAGATCGCGCTAGTGGCGCCAACTACGGGGAATTACAGATAAAATAAAAAAAGTCATGCATTTTGTAAATCCCTAAATCTCAAACTTTACAGTAATATAAAGTGAAAAAGATTCAACATAAATTAGAAGATTCTTAAAACTAAGGAGAGACTATTAAATTAAAGAAGATCAATTATAAAAAAAAGTTAATCCTATGAGGAGTTGAACTGAGAAACTGGACTGAATTAGTGAATGATGAATACAGTAAAAATCTTTCTTAATGTATACAAAAATACTCGGTATACTACTGTTGTTTTACTTACGAATCCACATGCGACTGTAAGTGACAGCGAGCGCATTTTCTATCTCTGTCTCGTCCACTGTGTCTTGATAAAGCTGCGATTTATTTTTATCTGAAAGTTTATTTTCATTTATTCAACGACACGACTACATTTAAAGTTTTTTTAAGCATTAAGACCCTTTCTGTCGACGTAGGCGCTGTGTGCTTACATAAATAATTGGTCTCCAAATGCCAGATGTAAATCCAATAACAAATACTCCCTACTTCATATTACCATGAGACGCGTATAGATTGTTAAGAATACGAAAACTGGCCTTATTGTATGCATAATAGCAAGACAAATTTGAAATTTGATTATTCCGACTGGAATAATGTTTCCTTTGTATTTTATTAGTGACATAATGCGAGTATCTTTTTTTCTAATTGCACAGGAAGTTGCAATAACTGGCAATGACAATAATAGTTTCAAGTTACACATTAATAAGAACGCAGTGCGTTAAAGAAGACCTCTGTACTGTGTTTGTTTGTACTCTCTCGAGCAAAGAGTATGTTATCAACTTTTAGGTTTTTCAAACAAACATACAGTACACATAGATGGCGCTGGTAAACATGAAAGGTTCATTTCCTGGGATTTTATTAAGGTTTGATTTTATATGAAATAGTAAAAAAAATTACTAAAACATTTTGATACTAAAATTTTAAACAGATATGGTTTATAATAATAAAAATCTGGTTTTCATGCGTAGTGGCAGTCAGGTTCAAACCTCACATTTCGCATTTTTTTATTAACTAGCTTATTCCCGCGAATCCATCCGCGCGGAATTTAAAAAAAAAATAATAGCCTACGTGTTCTTCTAGGCTATGTTCTACATCTATCCCAAATTTCAGCGAGATCCCTTAAGAGCTTTTGTATATATATTTTAAGAAAAATCCGTCCAAACATACAAACTTTCACATTTATAATATTAGTATAGAAATCATCTCAAATTCAATCAACAACAGATTATGTACTACTAAATATTGCTACATTTCCTTACAAAGTATTTTATCAAAAATCAAGTTAATTAACGTCTGTGTTTGAATTGAGTGAGACAGAACCAATAAAGGCAAAGGCATTCATAAGACAATTTGCTTCTACCTTTCAGCTCTTGCCTGAAGTTATTCAAGTTAAAATATACTCTATGGCATGTGATTAAAGTCGATAATATGTTTTAGCGATATTTGAGAATAACGTTTTATCGGCGAACAGAGTTGAACATAAGTATTGAAACAGTTATGGCTTCATTGTACATTTTTAATATGACCATAAACCCAAATGACATCTCTAAATCGTAGATAGGTTCCAAATTCGATTCTTACTTAAGCTGAAATCGATAATTTTCAACAGATATGGGCCTACAACTCACGAGAAATTTTAGTATGTCTCAGTAATTTTTCGTAATAGTCAATTCGATTCTAGAAAGAAATGTTTTAAAAACTATCATTCAATAATACAATTAGTTAAAAATATTCAAACTTATCATTTAACATAATAAATAGAGTAAACAACATAAAACAATTTACAAGATGCGGGCTTTGTGAAATGCAATAGTAACGGAAAATTCTCTGACATGATACGTAATAACCGTTAGATTCAAACAAGCGGATATTTAGTATAATTTTTGTAACACTAGAACTTAGTAGTTGAACATAAAAACAGTTCAATGCTTTTTATTTTAAAATCTCTACTTGTAAGTGTGTATTTAAAAACATAGATTTGTTGATGGAAGAAACATAAAGAACTTTACTTATTTACACGCTTATCTTATAAAAATATACGCAGTTGCTCCAGTGTCGCAGTATATAAAGCATAGTACAACAATATATTATAGTTCCATACAAACTTTATGGCGGCTTTGAATTTGGCACGAGACGCTGCAATAGAATCATATAGTAGAGCTGCATCGGAATATAGAGACATTTGGGATCAAAACACACAACTAGGCGCACTTTTCTCCATCCGTATTAAGCCCGAGCTACAAGATAGGCAACAACGACCCGACATAAAGTTTGAATATTATAATACTTCGCTTTAGCTGCAACGTGTTATCGACCGTAAGGTACACAAGAACACGTCCGCATTGCCAACACTTGGATATTAGCTGTCAGTTCGCACTGCCGATACATACACAAAAACATGTTGTGATTTCACGATACATTTTTATGTGATATATAAGATATATGATATATATCTTCGTTTTATTAACTTACATATAAAAAAGCTATGACACGATGTACTAAACGTATTGATAAAACATATTAAATTACAGAAATCTGCATAAAACATAACGCTTTCAAAACTTTAATAGCGGTAGAATCTGCAAAAGAATTGGCTGCTGCAAGATTGGCCCAACATGTCTTGTAGATGGTAACACATAAGTATACTGATAAAGATATAGATCAGAAAGCATGCAATAATTTACTGTAAAAATAGTCTACTTACCAAAACGATCGCAATTTTCTCTATCTATACAAGTAATGTAATTCATTTCATGTAAAGAATCCATTTTAAATTACTAACTTTATTACTTATTAGAAAATTCGCTAAATTGCGATATCGATAATTATTATTTCAACAATTACTACAACAAAATATAATTCATTCAAATTAACGTCAATTTTGGCGGAAGAATTGTTATCATTTGAATCATAGATTATAGAAGACTGAATTATTGATTGAAATTATACAGAAATACATAAAAATAATTTCGAAAGTATCTACTATATAAAAAAAAACGTCATTCGACTCTGTTTAAATAAATTTATCATTAATATATACAAACAAGGAATAAATGTCGTTGGTCAAAGTTTCGTAAAAAAGTAGTTCATGAAAATTTCGACCGTGATGTTGTTTGTCTTGCAAGACCGTTTTCATGTTTTAACCAAATCCATATTTTAGTAAACAAGGCGAGAAAAGTTACTGGCCTTTATTGATGTCTCATACATTCATTGGAAAACATACCTAAATAAGCCTTATGGTCTGTTGTATTTTCAATCAGTCGGGAAAATATAAAACACACAATAAAGTCTTTGATAAATGGAAATATTGATCAAAATTGACCCAGTTTCTTTCTTTTAGTGACTGCTTACAAATTTTAGGTAGATATTTCTTGTCATGTTAATATTTCATTGCATTTAAAATAAATTAACCGACTATGATTCATTGCTGATAAGCCAATCAGTCAGTGATTTATCGCTGAAATTAAATAATTTGTGTTATTATTAATATGTATTGTAAAAATAGAACATTTGTGATAACAGTCGATATTTCGTCATTTCGAACTTTTCAAAATTACTGCTACTAACTTCTAAAAACAAATTTGTCCGTTAACTAAGCTCATACATGTATTTAATGACAATAGATGTTTTTTAATTCCACGCCGACGACAGCTAGTAGAATATAAATGTATGTACCCAATGTTCCTAGCTTCATATTGGCATAAGTTACTTACGTCAAGAGTTTCGAAGCTGCGCGCTGGCCGCAGCGCCACCCTGCAGCCGGCAGCGGCAATCGATTATTCATAAATGTTTCATTCTTCGCGCCAAGGTTACGTTTATCGTCCTTTAGAACTGTTTCTAATTTTAACAAAAGTCACACACTACTATAAGTAATATTGACTGTCACTGTTGTCTATTTCACTTCACTTCAATTTCCGTATAGGTATAGCTACTTACTCCTAATTATCGTACATCATTTACGATGAAGAAAAAAAACAGACGAATTAATAACCTCCTTCTTTTTGAGGTCGGCTAAAAAGGGAAATGGTCGCCTCGTAGTAGCCTTGCATGTTTACAATGTCGGGATCATTAGATTCAAACTATCTTTTCTAGTATACATATCTGATGAGTCTTTTACAAATTGTATATTTCTTTGTATTGATACTTCGTATCAACTTCATCCCGTTATTGACAACTGCTGCACTAGCGGTGCAATTTTACCGATAGTTAAGTGATGAGACTGCATTCTGCACTCTAGCTCCCGCCGAAACTGACACAGCATTTTTCACGCCGTACCATATTGTTAAGACCACCAATTGAGATTATAGTAAACTGTGACAATAATTTGAAATTTTGTAAAATTGTTCTGTGTTATGTTTTAAAATAAATGTAGTTTTTTTTTGCTAAAAAAATAAAAAGTAGTAAAAGTCAATTTGCAAAGTTAGCCTAATCTAAAGGTCACGACGAAACTTTTCGGGAAGCAGCGATTTTTCCTTGTTGTTCAAGGTGTAGCGATTGTTTGATGCCAGAGCCCAAGCAAGAGGTCACAGTAATCGCTTCGACCGTTGTGTCTGTTGCAGCATCGCCTGATTCTGCCACCATTTTTAATGATTCTAAAATCTCATACAGTCCATCACTAAATAAGTATCTTTCAATGTTGGTTTCGGCCAAGTGCTCCTTCAGCTCCTCTTTAATGCAGGACATCGCTAACTCGCGCCTGGCAATAGACTCCGCGTGTTGAACGTCACACAGGATACGACAGACATCC